CTTGCAGAAAATTCATATGATCTATCTTTACGATTGCGTTAGGAAACTTGAGCCTATTATACTATGGCTAATAAGTACCACATTTTGCCAGTTCTACATACTTACAACTAGTAGTTTTAATTGAGTTTACGATGGTTTCGGATCTTCATGTCCCGTTACATGACTTAACTAATTTTTCCTTACGAAATTTTCATCTAATTAGGATCGTACTTGGAGAGATCGACTAGAATAATATTGAAATGATTAATAGAACAAAATAAGCTTTATTAATAGAATAACGGATTAATGTAACAGAATAGCAATTATGCAACGCTTGTCCCGACTGACCACGATCTTATTCGACCTTTTACTATCACGTTCTGACAACTTTTTTACAACTCACTTCTAAGACTGATTTCTACGACTTGCAACAGACGACTTTTAGACTAACTAACTTTAAACTGTCTTCTACGATTGACTTTAAAACACATTGCTGACTGCAAACTGGCTCCTGCGACCGAATTCTAAGACTTCTGATTTTAAACTGACTTACTTGCATTCTCGTACCCTTATTTAACCTTACATTTGTTAACCTTTGTACACCTTTTTTGTACACCTTTACACCGTTACACTTGTCTTCTTTCATACTCTGGCTTTTTTCCTCAATTACGCTGTTCCGACGCGGAACAAGGAAGACATCGTTACGGTCTTCCAACAGCCAGGTCTTTAGGGTCAAACAATTCGGCATCGGAATTTTCCTTTCCATGCCTTCTGCATGTTTGAAAGTCTTCACTTTCATCATGATTTCACGTGTCGCGGAACACGAGAATCATGGAAATCTCTAATTTAACGAAATTAGACGACGGCTCTTAAGACTTGGCTGACAGTACGCCTGAGGACTCCATGTGGTTCGCACACGTTGGAAACTTCAGGCCCTAGTTAGGGGCCATAAACGGCTGATGGGGTTACCAGCGCGCGGGTGGATAGTGGAGGGTTTCCTCCACTACCGTCTTCCTTTGAGGGAATTTTCCCTTCTTTCATGGTGATCGATTTGCGGACCAAGAGAACGCCCTTGGCCAAATCAGCCAATAATATTTGGCGAGCTCTTGATTTTTCCTCAGACCGATCTTAGGAAAATCGAGGAGCATAGTTCTCTTCGAATCGTCAAAGAGAGCAGTTTTAATAGAATCGTCAATCAGTTCAAATCAAATCTCGAATAGAGAATTTTCGAGCCTACTTATCGAGATCATTAAGAGTTTAATTCCTCTCGTTGTACAAGAGTCTATCGTTCGACTCCAGCCGCGATCTTCTTTTTGCTTGTGCAAACTGAAACAGTTGCTCAATATTAATTTGGTGGGCAACATTACGTGATCGTGAGACAACCTTACAACCCGTCGAATTTTACAGACTTCACTCGCGAAGCGACGCGACATTTTTTGATCCTTTGATCCGGATAGTGATCTGTGGACGCGATACACACGAATTTCCCATGCAAACTCGGTGGACCAGGACTTCAAACACTCAGAATGCATTCGTAGTTTCGCTCGTTTCTCGTTCTCGACTCTGTCATAAATGTCCCTTACACTCTATTGTCATGCACAGGATCAGTTTCGTCCTATGACCACTCTTAACATTCTTTCAGGGCCGTACTCGTTTCAATCCTACACCTATATCAAGTCATTTTAACCCTTTGCACTCAGCAACTTTCTCGTTACTGAAGAAAAGTAATTCTGTCATGAAGACTTTCTGCCATGAACTCGACGATGTTTTTAGAACGGTAAATAAGAAATCGTATACAAATTAAGATGTAGAATTATTTTATTTCGATATTCCACTCATCGTTGGGTAATTTTAAATTCGATATATTAATTAACATCGATCTTTACAATCTGATTAAATAGTGACTGAGGGTCGCCTCTGGAGTGTAAAGGGTTAACCGTAGATGAGCGACGAGGCGAGCCGATACTGGGTCATTTTTGACCCATATCTATATTTTTATTAGACTTGCAATGTATCAATCTTTTTGCTGCAGGATATTATGTAATAATATTTATAATATCGGGAGGAGAGGAGTTTGTTTAAAAAATGTAAAATTTTATAAACCTTTTTTATTTATGTGCACTGGGTATATATAATATAATTATGTTTCATTGCATGTTTTTTACATACAAATCGAGAACATTTGACACATTTCATACTATATTCGTTATCGTTGCTTACTATACATACAGTGCTGGACAAAAGTATTGGCACAGCATGGTTGTTCTGGTACAAGTGCTTATAACTACTAAACAAATTGATTTGAAGGAAAAACTTTTTCACATATTCATTTATTATCTATTCTAGTTTTATTACATAGTAGAAGCAATAATTTAAATACATTGATTCACGAAACAGTAACAAAAATGCATTTATTGAACATTTTATGGGTGGACAAAAGTATTGGCACATGATGCTAAATGTAGTATATCCGCATTTGTTTGAAAAATTTCCGATCGTCGTTTTAAAATCTAGTTAGGTGACACTCCGATTGTCATTTTTAATAACAATCATACTAATCTTCAGTCGTTTAGCAACAGAGAAAGTAAGAAAAAGTAATAATGTGAAGAAGAGCGAAAGAAACGACAAGTGAAGAGAGAGAAATAATACTAAATTTGTATAAAATTCGAAAATCTTATAGCGAAATATCACAAATTGTTAACAAAAGTCGTTTTAAAATTAGAGTAGTAGCGGGGCGAATGGGTGTGCGGTCTTACTTTTAACAGTATGTTAGAGATACTCTGTAAGGGGGTGCATGGAAACGTTTGGGTGGCTTCTCGAAAAGCGAGGGATAGCGAACGGCGACATCAGGTCCGACTCAGACGTTCGGTGCGAAAGAACAAACGATAGCGCGATATTCTTTGTTGGGATATCTGTGACTATGTCGAATGATTGAGAAGGAAAGCCTGTGTATGAAAAGAGATAGTTTTGGCTTAAAGTAAGGATGCAAGGGCGCAAGGAAGTCGGTGAGCAGAGTTCAGAAGAAGAAAGAAGAAGGTAGAGTTGAGAAGAAGGTAGAGAACACAGAGTTGAGAGTAGGCAGAGTAGAGAGAAATCAGAAGGCAGAGGACTGAATGTGTGTGGCAGAGACGTAGCGAATAGGGGATCGTGTGACAAACTTAGTGTAACATTTTAGTTAAATAAAATCTGTTTTATAAAAAGAGAGTTGTTTATTAGACGCGCAGAACTCTATCTGCATAAGATTAACACTAGATTTACGGAACCCGTCAATTTGACGGAAGGGTTGCTCCAATTATACGATGGTAACAGATTTAGTTAACTTATATTAAGACTGTTAATATATAAAACAAATATATAATTGTTTTTTAATTAAACTAATCGTTAAAAAAATGGCACGTGGATTCCCGTATCTGTCAATTTGACAGGTGTCCTTAGAAATAGGTATACAAATAGTGTCCGTAAACCTAGTGTTAATTAAGTCAAAAATCCAACAATTTGAAACCATATCATATTATTTTAGAAAAATAGGAAATTAAATATACGGTTTTCTAAGCACAGTTACTACTGAACATCCGATAAAAATGTATAATTTCGGTATTAGAAAATTACATATATTGATAATAGACACTAGTTAATTTATTTCTATTAATAATATACAGTTTCTTAAGTTTATATAAAATTTAGAATAAATTTATATAATAATACAAATTTATCGATGTTTGAAATTACGAGAAATAAAAAGTGCGTACTTTGATGATTGTACTGTATTAACTGACTGTGTGACTTAAATTTTTCAGTTCACAATTTTTCAATTTATATTCATATTTATTAATATGAATATATTATGAAAGAATTGTTTGTAAAATTTCAAATGTGTGTGATTTAATAACCGTTGTATCAAAACTAAAGTATTTAAAAAACTCGTAACTCTTATATTTGTTTCATTAAAGGCAGAATCATTAGGAATCATTACTAAATAACCATTTAAAGGTAAAATTTTGCAAATTTCAATAATTTTGTTTATAGTTTTTAACAACGACATATGTTAATATTTTAGTTGAAAAAATATGACAAGAAATGTTTTATATTAAAACAATTTTTCTGCAACATTTAAACATATTAGATAAGTTCGGATAAATTATACCATATTATTATTAAAGAATTTATTAACATACTCATTGTCGTAGATAAATTATAAAAATTATCAACGGTGAACTTTTCATTAAGAGAGTAGAAACCATTTATGAGTTACTCTTTAATGCTAGAATTACTGACACATGCATTAAATTAACATACTATAATGAAGATAGATAAGTATACATAACTATAATCATGTTTCGGACAATAAAAATCCGAAAAATATAAAATTCATTATTTCATTAAAAAAGAAATGAAGAAAGTTGCTTTTTCTTATAAACTACTTCATTTCTAATTGTGTGTTTCTTAAAAGTTAGAATATTTAATTAGAAAAGGGGAGAAAAAGCAAATATGGTATACAAAGCATGTACAGTCTGTATATTTAAATATATAACCGTTTTTATTTTGTAAAATCAAATATTTGCATTTATGCAGATAATTCTTATTCATTCGTTATGTGTATTTTTTTATATTTTTTTCATGTTACATTTAATACTTATAACTGTTTTTAAATTAATTATCTTCTAAATATATAATTAGAAAGCTATCCTTTTAAAATTAAAAGATTTATTTAATAAATAAATAAATGGGATAATTATTATTCGGGTTACATATAATATGTAAAATTGTACTGGCACTAATTTACGTTAAAATCTTAACCTAATCCAAACCTAACCTAACCTAACCTAACCTAACCTAACATAATCTAACCTAACCCAAACCTAACCAACAAAAATTCTCATTTCTTGCAATAACGATTGTAACAAGTGCTTAAACTATTGATTTTGTAGTAATTTACAATAGCATATGATATGATCCATTTTATATTTTATTAGCTTTATTGTTATTGAATTTGTTATTGTAATAATAAATAAATGTCACAGGTTTTAGATATCATCTCTGACGTGTTGAATGTCATCAGTGCTCACATCATGGGTCCACAAATTTATTTAAAATGTTACGAAAATTTGTTGTACCTTATAGATGGTCAAGCTAAACAAAATTTAGATGATTTTTTTAAGACAGAGCCCATACCGTTTTTACACGAATTTGAACAAAAAATAAAAGACTATGACGAGCTTAAAAACGAAATTTCTATATTTCGTAACAAGGTAAACAAACGAAAAAAAATATTTTGCGAGTATATTATACAATTATGTATCTTATTTTAGATTCCTCTCAACATGATAGAGATTGATTGTACTATTATAAATAATACTCTACGGCAAATCCTTAATGATCTTCGCACAGAGGTCTGCGATTACTTTGCAAACGAATTACGATCGAATAACCGAGATCTATGTTCCAATTTCGACAAAATGGCGGAGAATATCTCAAAAATGCCTGAGAAAACTCAAGATGTCGTCGAGTTGTATAATTACTTGTGCGAAAGTCGAGATTCTACCATGTTCAACCTGAAAAGAAAACTGGCACATTCCATAGAATTGATTTTATTCCTATTTAATTATCAACCACCCACTGACGAGGATATCCAGTTGAATACTCGTACTATAACTTGGCCGAAAGAAATGGAGACAGTAATGGATTTAGCGAGTGTGAGATTAAACATGAGAAAAGAATATCTGGAAGAGGTGCTACGTATAAGAAGGGAGAATTTTGAACAGAAAATACATAGCATGCAAGTGGCGATTGATCAATTCAAGAGGAAGGATCCACCAGTGTTATCTATGGAAGAAATGGAAGAGGCGGTGGAGGAAATTGATGAAATTTCTACGAACATGGAAGAAATTAGGAAGGAAGTTGAAGAGATCAACGAAGAGGAAAGTCTGTTAGACATGGAACTAAGTCCGTATCTGGTGATCCCCACAATGTCCACGATAGTTAGCTCGCTAAATACCCTCTGGAATACGGTATTAGATTTTCACAGGAATTACGATAGATGGTATAATGGTCCATTTTTCAATCTCGATGCCGAAGAAATCAAAGAAGAAACTGACAATATTTGGCGAACGTTGTACAGAATATCACGCATCGTATCCGATATCCCTGGCGCGCGAAGGATAACTGATATGGTTCGTGGAAAGGTGGAGAAATTCAAACAATATATTCCACTTCTACAGATAATATGCACTCCTGGATTACAAGATCGACATTGGAAGCAAATGAGCGAGGTGGTAAACGTGGATATAATACCAACGGAGACCAGTTGCCTCTCTGACATGGTAGACTTAGGATTATTGGTTCATCTAAGTAAACTCGAAGAAATATCCTCTGCCGCTGTTAAAGAGCATGCACTGCAACAAAATTTGCAGAAGATGAAGGAAGAATGGGCCGAGATTGAGTTTAAATTTATACCATATCGCGAAACAGGCGTTCATATATTAACCGCAGTAGATGATATTCATCAGTTATTGGATGATCATATCTTGAAAGCTCAGACCATGAGAAGTTCTCCATTTATAAAAGCTTTTGAACAAGAAATGCAAGCGTGGGAAGATAAATTATTGCAAATGCAGGATATTATTGACCAGTGGTTGATGTGTCAAGCAACTTGGATGTACTTAGAACCTATATTCAGTAGCGAGGATATCATGCGTCAGATGCCAACAGAGGCTAAGCATTTTCGAAGAATGGATAAGATCTGGCGTAACATAATGGCATATGCCGTGAAAAATAGTCGCGTGCTCGATGCTACCGACATGACGAATATGTTGCAAAACTTAACTCTGTGCAATACGTTATTGGAAGAAATACAGAAAGGCTTGAACGATTATCTCGAGAAGAAACGATTATTTTTCCCAAGGTTCTTCTTCTTGTCAAATGACGAATTATTAGAGATACTCTCCGAGACTAAAGATCCTCAGAGAGTACAGCCTCACTTGAGGAAGTGCTTCGAAGGTATCAGCAGGTTGCGATTCACGAAGGACGAGGAGATTATCGGAATGTTGTCGGACGAGGAAGAATATGTTCCCCTAAGCGGGAAAATTTATCCAGCTGATGCTAAAGGCATGGTCGAGAGGTGGTTATGTCAGGTAGAGGACCTCATGGTAGCATCTCTTCGGGACATTGCCGAAGAGAGCATCATCGCTTACTTCACCACGAAGAGAGAAGAGTGGATATTCTCCTGGCCTGGTCAAATTGTTATTTGTTGTAGCCAAATACACTGGACTAGCGAGGTTTGCGAATCGTTCGAGGATAACTCCACTGCGGAATATTTACAGAAATGTAATCGTCAAATAGAGAATACGGTGACGTTAGTCAGAGGCAAGCTGGATCCTGGAGCAAGAGTAACGATCAACGCGTTGATCGTGATTGACGTTCACGCGCGAGACGTATTACGTCTGCTTGTCGAGAAGCAGGTGAATAACATTATGGATTTTGATTGGATATCTCAACTGAGGTACTATTGGTTGGATAATAGTATCACGGTTACACTGATTACTACCACTGTGCAATATGCCTTCGAGTACCTTGGAAATACGCCGAGACTCGTGATAACACCGTTAACCGATCGATGCTACAGAACTTTGATGAGCGCGTTAAAATTGAATCTAGGCGGTTCACCGGAAGGTCCAGCAGGTACTGGTAAAACAGAAACGGGAAAAGACCTTGCGAAAGCTGTTGCCAAACACTGCGTAGTTTTCAATTGCTCGGAGGGTCTTGATTATAAAGCAATGGGTAAATTCTTTAAAGGACTCGCGCAGTCTGGAGCATGGGCCTGTTTCGACGAATTCAACAGGATAGACCTAGAAGTGCTGTCGGTAATTGCTCAGCAAATTTTAACCATTCAAATGGCTATAAGTTTGAACTTGGAAAAATTTATGTTCGAAGGAACGGAAATAAAACTGAACCCTACTTACTACGTCATCATAACAATGAATCCTGGCTATGCTGGGCGCCAAGAGCTTCCAGACAATTTGAAGGTCCTTTTTCGAACAGTGGCAATGATGGTACCAGACTATGCTATGATAGGAGAAATTACTTTGTATTCTTTTGGTTTCATTGACGCGAAGAATCTTGCAGAGAAGATAGTTCATACGTACAAATTGTGTTCCGAACAATTAAGCTCGCAGAATCACTATGATTACGGCATGCGAGCCGTGAAGACTGTACTCACTGCCGCTGGAAACTTGAAATTGAAATATCCCATGCAAAATGAATCCGTTTTGGTACTTCAAGCGATCATCGATGTTAATCTCCCGAAATTCTTGGCTCAGGATATTCCTTTGTTTAATGGCATATATACGGATCTCTTCCCTGGTGTCAGTTTGCCACAGCCGGATCGCGACGAATTGATAAACTTGGCAAAGACTGTCTTGAAGAAGCGAAACCTTCAAGCTACGTCTTGGTACATGGAAAAGATAATTCAAATTTACGAAATGCTGCTGGTGCGTCATGGTTTGATGATCGTAGGCCGTACTTTAAGTGGGAAAACACAGGCGTATCAAACTTTAGCCGAGGCTTTGGGCGAGTTAGCTAGTAAAAGACGAATTACTATGAGAGAATTTCAGACGATTTACAAGATTATTAACCCGAAAGCTATTACCTTGGATCAACTCTATGGCAGTTTTGATCCAGTGTCGCACGAATGGAGCGACGGAGTACTGGCTAATATTTTTAGAGAATTTGCGCAATCTATGTCGATAGACCGAAAATGGATAGTTTTTGATGGTCCCGTTGATGCAATATGGATCGAGAGTATGAACACGGTACTGGACGATAATAAGAAACTTTGTCTCATGTCTGGAGAGATTATTCAAATGTCGCATAAAATGAATATGATGTTCGAGCCGGCTGATTTGGAGCATGCTTCACCTGCCACTGTAAGCAGGTGCGGTATGATTTACATGGAACCATCGCAACTTGGCTGGAATGCACTGTTTGACTCGTACAAGACGTATTTGAAAAATAAGTTACTCGTCGAACAATACGAATTGATTGTGGAATTGATCGAATGGCTGACAGAGCCAATTTTATCGTTTGTACAGATTCATTGCAAAACATTCGTAGAAGTACCAGAACTTCATATGTTTCTGGTAAGCAGAAATATTTTCTCTGTTAATGTTAATTACATATTAGACGTGTATCGACAGCTTCCCAACAAGTGTATATATAATATTTTATGAAGTTGTATAAGCTATACAGACCTTTTATGGGATGTATTAATATAAGGGTATTACAGTCAAGTCTCCTATAACGCCTCCTATATCCAGTTGCGATTGATACGGTTAATAAATAAAATTTTGTAGGGACATGGTGGTTGTTAAATAATATAGTCTCTATTTATTGATAATAAAATAATAATACAATGTGCGGTGACGGTAAAGACTACGAATATAGATATATATATATCAAGTAAACTCTTACGACTACAACTAACGACACGATTATAACTAACAACACAATTACAACTAACAACACGATTACAACTAATAACACAATTACAACTCACTGACCCTGCTTAACTATCTCTCAAGCACTGTCTCTCAAAAAGAAGGGTTCCCTAACCATTTCTGCCTTCCTTATATATTCCCTAAAAAGCCTCCCCCAACACGACCAAATATGGTCATGCTAAGGGCCTAATGCATCGCCGGGGTTTTTCCGAATGACCTGGCCCTCGAACCCTCGACGACTTTCCAATCCAAAGTCACCTACACACGAGGTGGGCATTCTGCGATACTACAATTTTATAATAGAAATAACAATGAATATGTAGATTTTTACATATTTGAATTTAGGTGTATCGAATATAAGACATAGTTCATATAATAAAATTATAAACTAAAAAAATTGTTTCCAACAAAAAACTTAATTTCATACATATTAGTGACGCATCCTAATTTAAAATAGGATTCTAACATGTAAAAATTAAACGGTTTATTACTTTGTTTTATATAATTATTTTTCGGACGCCTATCAAAGCCCTTATTAAAATCTTTCCAATCATAAGTTCTCTTATCCATCATTCTTATTCCATACTTCTTCTTATTTATATTCATTTCTGAAACAAATGTTTTATTCTCAAACACTTTTATCAAATCGCTTCAGCCTGATTGGAATTCAGACATTCTTATCATGTGGTTTATATATTGAGGATACCACAATTAGATTGTTTTGTTATTCATAATCACTGCTAAATATTTGCAGGCTAACCCATTTTTTTCTAATTGGTCGAAAATCCTCCTCACTCTGCAAATTTTCTTCTTGGTTTTTTCAAATGTATTTTTATTTTCTAGTTCTTTCAAAACCTCTTTATATGGAGTCATGCAATTTTTAAATTTTCTTTTAAATTTTGCACTGCGCGTCGTTGAAGGATCGCAAAAATTTAACGCATCGAATAAGTGCTGCCATAAATAGATAAATTTTTCAAACTATTTGAGTTATTGGAATGATCTTAGACGAAAAACACGTTATAAGGAGACCGTGTTATAGGAGAGCTGTCGCAATTTTCGCTCTGCGTTATATGGAAATCGCGTTATATGAGACTCAATTGTGTATGCAACTGACAATGAGTTCAACTATAGTTTTCAAATGGTGGAAGATAGACAAAAATTACACAAAATAAAATTAAATGATATCGAGTTGTGCATGATTTGATGTAATTCTTTTTGTTAAATTATTTATAAATTGAGTTTAATATTTTTTTTTTTTATATAACAGTTTAATTATTTTACGAATAGTATTGTAATACTGTAGGAATCTATTAAATTTGTTCTTTTGCTAAGAGTATTATGAAGTAGACTTTCATACTATGTTATGTCTAAAGTAATAATTGATAGTTACCTAAAAATAGATAATATGTATTCACTGTTTCCAAATGCTGAATCAAACTTTGAAGTGCTAATATATTTTAAATATAATATATTTTTGCAACTTCAATAGTTATCGATAAAAATGTACTTTTTGTTTAAAAACTTATTTTTGAAAGACACGTTTGTTTTAGTCTTTCACGAAACTACTCACTGCTATGTTGGATGGAGAGACACAAGTTAGTACGGTTTGGCTACAATGCGTTTTGTTATTTAGCATGATTTGGGGCATGTGCTCGACATTAACGAGTGATAGTAGGAAGACTTTCGATATTTATTTGAGAAAATTATTACTTGGAAACGACGATGAGTATCCTAAGCCAAAAGCATTTAAATTGACGAAACAGCAGCTTTTTCCTGATAAAGGAACTATTTACGATTGGATATACGATAAAAGGAATAATGGATGCTGGATACCTTGGATGGATACAACGTTACAAGTATTACATATTTTAATAAATATTATTTCAATTTGACTTTCGCAGTATTATATCAAATAGCAAAGGAGGATGTTAAAAAAGGCCATTTTTGGTATCGCCTGAAAATGAAAAATTCCTTCAGAACATTTAACCCATTTGCATCCAAGCGCGGAATATTCCGCGAGATACGACAGTCGCCTATCACCGAGCGCGGAATAATCCGCGAGCTGACTTTTTCCATTACCACTTGCTGAATATTCTGCATATGCCACGGATCACGTTTGATCCCTTTTGTGAGCATCTCATCTACATCGGTTCATTATATTCTTAACAAGTTTTACTTTTGTTGTGAAAATCCTTTTAACTGCCATTATGAGTACTTAGGTACTGATACGCGCGCGGTGATACGGGCTAGTCGTCAGTTGAACGTCGCTGATGCCTGAATACGGCACCTTAAGTAGAGCCATGATGAAATAGGTTAAAAGCATCCTCCAAGGAACTAAAAATTCTTGTATCACTTTGCCGAGAAATGATGGGAAAGTTGTTAAAAATGAGTCGAAATATGTGAAAATCAGATTGATCGAACATACTCAAACTTGTTTCGTCGTTTACTGAACCATCTTGGAAATAATTAGCGAATTTCAGCTAGTAAATGAACCGAAAGTTAGAATCAAGCAAAGCCAAAATACTATATAAGCATTGCTACATGGGAACAGCACCCACAACGCGTTTCCCAACATTGCATCCACCTGTTTGTGCAAGCACAGCTTCCAGTCCAACTTTAATTTTATCTATTAATATGTGTACAAAATATTTTAAAGTATTTGAATGCGGTAACAGAAATGGCCTATTTTAACATTCTCCTTCCTTGTCTATAATACAGATAGACTATTTTCATTAAAATGCTTCCTAAATGATAAATTTAAAATACCGTTAATATAAATATTATAAAATATTAAAATAATTTATCAAATCTCTTCTTTTTGTCACATTGTAATAATTTCTAATAATAATAACTATCATTTCACTTCTGATGCTTAACACTTTGCCGGCCGTTCACTTCTCGCATCGCCTTTACGCTGTTGCCGGCGAATTTCGCGCGGATTGTACTGCTCACTGACGGTTATATTTACGCGTTATGGTTATTATTAAAAAAGGCACTAAGATCTGAGACTAGATCTTAGACCAAATGCAAGAACAAGCATCTACTTAGGGAATGTCAAGAAAAGACAATCGGGGCAGTTAACTTTTTGGAGCACGCTGGGATTAACCCTTTCGCTACTACGGGTGACTATATCGAGACGCCATCTACACACGTTGGGTGACTATAGTCACCGACCACAAAAATTGAGTAAAAAATTAAGACAAGTGCTACCGTTCCTCTTAGCTCTCTTCGCAAAGAATTGCAAGATCTATTGCGACGGTCAGTTTTTCCTTTTCTTTTTTGCTTCAAAAGATTTGCGTCAAAAGACCGAATGCTAAAGACTGCGCGATCGTAATGTCGCCATCTTTGACACCGCCTTGCGTTCTGTGAAAGAGGCTTCGCGGCGACGCTCGCCGTAACGAAAGGGTTAAAAGTATCCCATCTTTTTGATGCACCGTAATGCATGGTGGGACATTTTTAGTCCCACCTCGAAATATTGCAATAGCTGCATGCGCATAGGTTTATATTTCGTCTTCTTTACGTAAAGCAGTTGATAATACCTTTAACAAACGTTATAAATATATTCGTTTATGTTGGCAACATTCAACATGCCAGCACAGGTTCATCAATTGTTGCAAGCGGAAGGTTTATTGCGACTATCTTTTTCTCCTGGTTTTATGTGAGAAATCGTAAAAATAAGTTAATTTTTATAAGAATTAGTTCTATACCAATTTTGTTTCATTTAAAACGCAATAAAATTTCTATGCAACGTGGGTCTACTTTATTATCTGAAATCCTGTACCGCAAAGAGTTAAAACAGAAGTATATTGGAAGCAGTGTTGCCGCGCTGAACCGAAGTAACGCGTACGTGACAGCGACCGATAACCGTTGGCGAGGAAAGGTCACGCCTGCGCGATAACGGTCGACAAAGTGTTAATTATCATCGAATAAGAATTTATAATAACAACTTTGGCACTAAATGCCAAATTATTGTCTTTATTACTTTAAATATCAATGAGTTATGTTTAACTCTAATTCTTATGTTCTAGGCGTCCATATTACCAGACGTGAAATCCGATGAATTAATTGTACCAACAACCGAAGTAGTGATCCAATGTTTCTTCATCAAAAAACTTCTTTATAGAACCATACCTATCTTATTCGTTGGACCAACTGGTACCGGCAAATCCGTTATCGTATTGAATTACCTGCAATTTATGCCCAGAGATATATACATAGAGAACGTTGTGAACTTCAGTGCTCGTACTACTGCTTCTCAAACTCAAGAGATAGTAATGTCTAAGCTAGATCGTAGAAGGAAAGGTGTGTTTGGTCCACCAATGGGGAAGAAATGCGTATTGTTTCTCGACGACCTAAGTATGCCCCAGAAAGAACAATATGGCGCACAGCCGCCAATTGAACTGATCCGGCAATGGGTAGATCATGGACACTGGTTTGATTTAAAAGATACAACGATGTTATACTTGGTAGATATGCTTTTAATTTGTGCCATGCTGCCACCTGGCGGAGGCTCGAATATAGTGACATCTAGGTTAACTCGACACATGCATATAATCGGTATCGACTTTTTCGAAGAGGTGACAATGACCAAGATATTCTCTTCGATTTTGGATTCACACTTCGCGAAAGGATTTACTCCGGAGGTTTCGAGATTGGGAAAAATGATCGTAACTGCGACCATGGATATATACCTTGGCGCGATAAAAACATTTTTACCGACCCCCGCAAAGAGTCATTATACCTTTAATTTGCGTGACTTTAGTCGTGTTATTAAAGGCATACTCTTGGTACCAGCTTCTAGAATGCAGGATCCGGATAAGCTGATTAGGCTTTGGGTCCACGAAGTATACAGGGTTTTCCATGATAGACTGATAGACGATAACGATCGCGAATCATTATTTCGAATGGTTCAGTACACTTCCTATGATCAATTACGACAGCCTTTGGGGAAAGTACTTAACAGACTTTTGCACAAAGGAGAGCAAGAAATTACGAGTTCTCACATACGTGATCTCTTCTTTGGGAATTATATAGAGCCCGATGCTGTGCCTAAAATATACGACGAAGTGGTAGATTTGAAAGACCTGCAAGAGAAAATGGAGCATTATTTAATGGAGTATAATATGCTTTCTAAGACACCGATGTCGTTGGTCTTGTTTAGATATGCTATCGAACATATTTCTCGTATATCGAGAATATTACTGCAAGAAAATGGCCACGCTCTTCTGATAGGAATGGGTGGCTCTGGTAGAAGTTCCTGTGCCAAGTTAGCAACTAGTATGTGCGAATATGCGATGTATCAGATCGAAATTACTACGACTTACGAATTTTCCGAGTGGAGAGAAGACCTGAAGAACTTGCTACTGCGCGTGGGGTGCGATGGGAAATCCACTTCTTTTCTGTTTGGCGATCATCAAATAAAAAGCGAATCTTTCGTCGAGGATATAAACATGGTACTGAACACGGCAGATGTGCCAAATTTATACGACATCGAAGAGAAGGCTGAGATATTAGACAAAATGACGAACGTGATGCACAGTACCAGCGGGAGGAAGGTCGAAATTACACCCTTGATCCTTTACAATTTATTCTTGGAAAGAATAATGCAGAATCTTCACTGGATCCTAGCAATGTCGCCAATAGGCGACAAATTTAGGAACCGTCTGAGAATGTTCCCTTCACTGATAAACTGCTGTACCATCGATTGGTATACCGTTTGGCCCGACGATGCCTTGGAAAAGGTAGCGCGGATGTCATTACAAAATATTAACATCAGCGCCGATTTGCGAGAAAAGTGTGTCGGTATTTCTAAACAGTTCCATACGAGTATCGCAGTGGCTAGCGAAGATTATTATAACACGCAAGGTAGAAGATACTACATAACACCGACCAGTTTCTTGCAACTTATCAAATCGTTCTGCAGATTATACGATCAGAAAATCGAAGAGATCACCGGCCACCAAATGCGATACGAAATGGGACTGGAGAAGTTGGACTTCGCAGCAGGGCAAATAGCGGTAATGAAGGAAGAGCTTCAAGCCTTGCAACCAAAATTACTGGCCCAGTCCGAGCTAAGTAACAAGCTGATGGTCAGGATCGAACAAGATACTATTAATATCGAAGCAAGGAAAGAAATTGTGGGAGCTGAGGAGGCTTTAGCGAACGAAGCTGCTGCTGCCGCACAGGCTATAAAAGACGACTGCGAAAGTGACCTAGCTGAGGCCACTCCTGCACTGGAAGCTGCTTTGGCAGCATTGGACACCCTGAAACCAGCTGACATTAGTATCGTACGATCCATGAAAAGTCCACCGGCAGGTGTAAGATTGGTGATGGAAGCTGTTTGCGTGTTGAAAGGGGTGAAACCTGAGAAAGTTCAGGATCCAGCAACAGGTCGAGTTGTGGAGGATTACTGGCCAGCTTCTATCAGGATACTGGGTGACATGAGGTTTCTCGAGAGTCTGAAGAACTTCGACAAGGATAATATTCCACCGGCGTATATGAAGATAATTCGGGAAAAATTCATCAACGACAGGAGCTTTCAGCCTGAAGCTATCAAGAAGGTTTCCACTGCTTGCGAGGGCCTCTGCAAGTGGGTACGAGCGATCGAAGTCTACGATCGCGTGATTAAAGTAGTGGCACCGAAGCAAGCTATGTTGGCAGAAGCCGAAGCTGCTCTTGCCAAGCAAATGGAAGCTTTGAACGCTAAACGAGCCCTTCTTCAAGAGGTTACTCAGAAGTTACAGTCGCTGAACGATGAATTTGCCGAATGTATGAGAGAAAAGAAGAAACTCGAGGACCAAATCGATTATTGCAAGAAGAAATTGGAAAGGGCTGAGAAGTTGCTAGGTGGATTAAGTGGTGAGAAAAATCGATGGCAAGAAGCAGCTGCTACATTGGGTGCGAGCCTTCATAATGTTATTGGAGATGTTCTACTCTCTTCAGGAGTGGTTGCTTATTTTGGAGCTTTCACGGTAGAGTACAGGAACAAATTAATCGCGGAGTGGCACGAGTCTTGTATGAAAGCGAGGATCCCATGTGGGAAGAAGTTCAATTTGATCGATATTTTAGGCAGACAAGTGGAGATCAGAGCTTGGGTAATTTTTGGCTTACCAGCGGACAATTTTTCCGTAGAGAACGGTATAATCGTGAAGAACGCCGATAGATGGCCGCTCATGATCGATCCACAGAACCAAGCAAACAAGTGGATAAAAAATATGGAGAAGGAAAATAATTTGATAGTTATCAAGCTTTCTGATCCGAACTACGTGAAGGTAGTGGACACTGCGATACAACTCGGCACACCGGTCCTGTTAGAAAATATTTTAGAAGACGTAGACGCTATATTAGAACCCGTGTTGCTGAAAAATGTTTACAGAGAACGTGGTATCTTGTATATGAAATTTGGGGAAAACGTGATCGAGTATAACATTAATTTTCGATTTTACATAACAACGCGTTTAAGGAATCCCCATTATCTACCAGAGATAGTCGTGAAGGTAACGTTGTTGAATTTCATGATTACGCCTCAAGGACTGCAGGATCAGCTGCTAGGTATCGTCGTGGCTAAAGAACTGCCCGTTCTAGAAGAACGTAAGAATCAGTTGATAGTGGAGGGTGCGAACAACAAAAGGATATTGGAGGAGATAGAGAATCAAATTTTAGAAGTTTTGTCAGCCTCGGAGGGCAACATTTTGGAGGACGAAACAGCTATTACGATACTGTCAACGTCGAAAACGCTAGCAGAGGATATCGAAGCTAAGCAAGAGGTAGCTGCCAAGACTGCAATAGAGATTGATAATGCTCGTAATGAATATAAGCCTGTCTCCGGACATGGTTCGGTCCTATTTTTCTGTATTTCTGAACTAGGTAACATTGATCCTATGTACCAATATTCTTTACCATGGTTCATTCACCTCTACGAGATGTCAATAGCCAATAGCGAACGGAGCAAGAACCTGAAGGTTCGAATAGAAAATTTGAACACGTATTTCACGGCTAGTATTTATAGAAACGTATGTCGTTCTTTGTTTGAGAAGGACAAGTTGATATTCTCTTTTGTTTTGTGCATTGGTCTGTTACGCGCTGTTAACAAGGTAGAGGAAGAACTCTGGACGTTCTTATTGGCAGGTGACGTGGGTCTAGATAATCCTTACCCTAATCCTGATTCCACTTGGCTAACGGAAAAATCCTGGTCCGAAGTAGTCAGAGCTACAAATCTGCCTAGGCTGGAAAGATTAAAACAGTCTTTTGAAACACAGACGGCACAGTGGAAGGCTTATTACGACTCGCCTAATCCTCAAGAGGAACATTTTCCTCAGCCATTTCAGAATGAGCCGGAAAGTTTGAGAAAACTGGTGATACTGAAATGTATAAGGCCGGATAAAATCGTGGCTGCTGTGCGAATGTTCGTTACGTACAATATGGGGCAGGCTTTCGTGGAACCCCCGCCATTTGACCTTCAAGCGTGCTATAATGATTCCAGCAACGTAACTCCTCTTATCTTTGTCCTGTCTCCTGGATCTGACCCAATGGCAGGCTTAATCAGATTTTCAGAGGATTACGGAGTATCGAAAGAGAACCTGATGACTATATCGTTAGGGCAAGGTCAAGGTCCGATAGCAGTGAACATGATAAACAGAGGAATAAAGAGTGGAGAGTGGGTGGTGCTTCAGAATTGTCACTTGGCAGTTTCTTGGATGAAAGAATTGGATAGAATTTGCGACGAAGTTATCATACCAGAGAACACGCACCTTAAATTTCGCTTATGGCTAACTAGTTACCCATCCAAGGATTTTCCTATCTCTATCTTGCAAAATGGAGTGAAAATGACCAACGAGCCACCGAAAGGGTTGAAGAATAATCTCCTGAGAAGTTATTTGAATGATCCGATATCGGATATAAAGTTCTTTAATAGTTGCAATAAAATGAGTAACTGGAGGACCCTCCTTTTTGCTTTGTGCTTTTTCCACGCAGTTGTGCAAGAAAGACGTAATTTCGGACCATTAGGTTGGAACATTCCGTACGAATTCAATGAGTCAGATCTTCGTATTAGTATTTTACAACTACAGGTAAGGTTATCATAAAAGAAGCTGGGTAATTTCTATATATTTTGATAACAACAAATATAGTTGGAACGTGACACAGCTTTAACCCATTTGCATCATGACTCTACTTAGACTACCACGCTGAAACATCAGTGAAGTTCAATTGACGACTGGCTCGTATCACCGCGCGTGGTCGGTCTTATATACAGTAAACGACATCCAAATTGTTCGCGGAGTTTATTAAAACTGTACTGTGTAAAACGATTGATACACAATGTTACATCGCAAACATCGCATTTTACATTTCTTTATGAAAAGGGAAAGAAACAAATATTATTTTATAAATAGAATATTCCGCGCTCGGTGAGAGTAAAGTCGCGGGCTCGCGGAATATTCCGCGCTTGGTGATAGTAGACAGTCACGGTTCGCGGAATATTCCGCACTTGGATGCAAATGGGTTAAGAATCGTGCATGACACGTGTCTAAAGTATCTGCACTATAAGTTTTATTTTACTTTTTATTTTTCAAAAGATTCCTTTTTCCCTTCTTTTGTATGCACGTGTGTTTAAACGTTCTGTCAAACGTGAACTTATTTAGTTTGTTTTCCTGTTTTTTAGAAAAAGGACATATCTTTTGTTTCTATAAGTTTTCTTGTTGTTTTATTGTTAAAAAAAAAACAGTATTTATATAGAATATCGTGCCGTAATTTTTTGAGAATAGTTTTATAGATATTTGGGGAATTAATTTGAGAAATAATATTCTGTATATGTTACAGTCAAAATCTGAGATTAGTCGATACTATTATATAATTATGATCTCAACGCCAAACGCTAAACGTTAAACTCTCACTAATTCGCAACTGACTTTCTTTTCTGACACTCTGCCCCGCCCGCATTCTTGCACCCTTACTTAATTTTTTGCACTCAAAAGGCACCCTTCTGCTGCCATTTGATAAAATTTTGAAGATCAATATTAATTAATATATCAAATTTAAGATAATATATCGGTGTGCGAGGTATCGAAATCAAATAATTCTGCGTGTTAATTATTATGTGATTTCTTATTCACTGCTCAAAGAAAAATATAAAAATACTCTTCTTTAGCCAAAAGATTGTCGAGTGGAAAGGATTAAACGCGTCTTTCTCGAAACTATGTTTCTAAAAACGGTGTGCAAGATATCTCGAGATCTAATCGATCAATTACTATGAAATTTTGCATATATCTTTATGATAATATTTATTAGGCACAGATGTTCTACTTTTTTAAAATTGTTTACAATTTTAACAAAAAAGCAACGAAATTTTTCGTAAAAATTCGATAGATCAACTATAAATAATTGCCATTTTGTTAATTTTTGAAAAAATTGAAATGTTCGAACGTCAGTGCCTAGAGAATATATTATACTTTCAAGTCCTTTTCGATTTTATGTCACTAATCCTATTTGGCTTGAATTCTGCGTAGCAAAACAAAAAACAACAAAATTTTTCGTAAAAATTCGATAGATCAACTATAAATAATTGCCAAGTTCCAAAAAAATTGAAATATTCCAACGTCAATGCCTAGAGAATATGTTATAGCTTTAAATCCTTTTTATTTTTTTATGTCACTAACCTCATTTTGCTGTAATTCTGCACACTGAACGGCCATATTGGAAAAAATTACTTCAGAATGATGACGTCACGAAGCTAAATAAGGAACTCTTTCGAAAATTTAATATTGTTTTACATAGCTTAGAATATGTTGAAACAAGTCACAAAAGCTTATATTAATTAAGCGATTACTTTTTCTCCGGTGTTTCTTTAATGTACCACTAATTTTTGAGCGCGTGAAACTGTCTTGTCCTCTTAACCCTTTGCACTCGAGAGGCGACTCTCAGTCGCCATTTAATCAGATTCTAAAGATCGTTGTTAATTAATATCTCAAATTTAAAATTGCCCAACGACGCATGGAATATCGAGATAAAATAATTCTACGTCTTACAATTAATTTGTATTTCTTATTTACCGTTTTGAAAATATCGTCGACTTTATGGCAGCAAGTCTTCGAATTACTATGTTTCTGTAACGAAAAGATTACCGAGTGCAAAGGGTTAATATCAGAAAGTTGTATTTATTTTATTTGCGTTTTTGTTTGGAATTAACAACTAATCAACTGCAAACGTAAAAGTTTCTCACAACTCGTTGTAAGATAATAAAATATTAAAATATTAAAATATTAATTAATTTTTTCTCTCATTGTATTAGCTTTTTTTAAATGATTACGAAGAAGTACCATTTGATGCACTTCTATACTTAACGGGTGAGTGCAATTACGGTGGTCGTGTGACTGATGATAAGGACAGACGTTTACTGAATTCGTTATTAGCACAATATTACAACGAGGAAGTTATTACCAACCCACGGTAAATTTTATACGTACTTCTAAATATTTAAGAAATATTATAAACTAATAACTTATTAGCTTACATTTTTAAGATATCATATTGTGGGATGCTGTTTTTAGACAACAAATCGAAAGAGATTAACGATTTCTTAGTAATATCCAAGTTAAAGTATTTTTTAAAATAATTTTTCGATATACACGGTTTACAATTTGTACATTTTCTTCGTACAAACCGAATTGCATTGATTAACACTAGAACTACCAAAGGGGTCAGAATGACTTGTTTCAAATATTCTATTTTTCTAATTTCTCAGGAAATATGAACTGCTTTTGACAAAATTTATGCTCGCTTTTATTCAGGTCGAAATATAATTGTTTATATTGGGAATCTCAAAATTCACGCAAGAAGTAATTTTGACAGAAAGCATAGGTTATTAATTAAAAGTTGTAAATAATGCTTGACAATGAAGACGCGTTGTTCTTTCGTGTAACGCTCCATTTTTAATAACCGTAAACTGTCAGCTGTTACGCTATGTTGGTAACACTTTACTGCACAAATGGCGCAAAATTTGAATCTTGCGCGAAGTTTGGACCACTCTATAGTTATACGTCTGCTCCGCATCACTACAATTATTTTCAATTGTGTAAAATATATGTAGCTACTAATTATGGGTTGGTAGTTCTAGTGTTAATACATTATGAAACACGATGCCATTTAAAAAATCATAGTTGACCTTCATATGTCTTCTATGTGTTCGCCTACAAAGAAATTAACTAACATTAGGAAATTAACTATTTCATATTTCCCTTAACCACTTGCGGTGCAAAGAAATTCACGGTTGCGCGTGCCAGAACAGTCGAGTGCAAATCACTTCGGGGCGCGTTCAGGCAGCGTTCGAGGGGTTCCAGAAGAGAATATAACCGTTTGAGTCCCAAGCAGCGCAATCGCGCTGTTCAGATTTCATGTCGAGAAAACCCAGCACATTTCAAGCCTTCTCGACAGCTGACGGTGCGTCACCGACTGTCGAAGTCAAAACGCTATCGCGCCACTTGGCCATTCATCACCATAATATAAACGAAGCGCTATCGCGCCGCTTGGGATATATCGACATAAAATAGAAGAAGCGCTATCGCGCTGCTTGGTTCTCTCCGTACCCACTTAGAGGCAGCGCGGTCGCGCTGTTTGGGAATGGTGGACACTGTTTTTTCAAAACCCTCTGGGACTCCAACGGATAAAGACGCATCAACTGATGAAGTGCAAGCAGAAACTGTGCCTTGGTAAAGAATTTCATAACAGTTGATGTGCCATGCACGTCATTTTTCTTTCTGCAACAATCGCCTGACGACGTGTGTAACACGTCGCTGGTGTTACGGTAACAGAAGCATCTCGACGTGCGTGGCACGTCTTCCCACCGCAAGTAGTTAAAACAAGTATTGAATTTTTGTCTGAATTTTTTTTTATATATATAGTGAGTTGTTTCCGAATAATTCGCATTAAATTAATTTCGCAACAAATAAACAATTTTCTATGAAAATACAAATTACATGTTCCTATATTTTTAATATAGGTACTGTTTTTCACCGAGTTGTATATATCGTCTACCAGAAAATACCGATTATCACGGATGTCTAGAATATATTCGTACTCTACCAATTGACCAACAACCAGAGGTGTATGGCTTGCACGAAAACGCAGATATAACAAAAGACAATCAAGAATCGGCACAACTGCTTAGGGGCACTTTGTTGACCCAGCCACACATTACTGGAGTTGGGGTAGTGAGAGACATGGATGCCATGGTTTACAGTTTATGCGACGACATCTCGTCCAAGTTGCAACTGCAATTCGATGTCTTAGCAGTTTCTAAGAAATATCCGGTGCTTTATATGAATAGCATGAACACGGTTCTTCGCCAAGAGCTTATCAGATTCAATGCCCTTGTGGGCGTGATTAAAACTACTTTGGTGGATCTACAGAAAGCTATTAAAGGATTGGTTTTAATGTCTTCCGATTTAGAAGAAGTTTTCCACAGTTTGAGTATTGGTAAAGTGCCAGACACCTGGAGCAGGAAGTCGTATCCTTCTTTAAAACCGCTGGGAAGTTATGTCAATGACTTAATGGAGAGGTTAGAATTTTTCCAAGATTGGATAGATCATGATGCACCAACCGTATTTTGGATATCCGGATTCTTCTTCACGCAATCTTTCCTTACGGGTGTTCTACAAAACTATGCCCGCAAGTACAAGATTCCAATTGATAGATTGGACTTTGAATTCGAAGTAACAGAATTTGAAACTAGTGTGGACACTATACCATCTTATGGAGTATACATAAGGGTAAGATTTTTAATATCGTGCTGCCTTTGTTTTGAATATTTCACTTGTTTAGTTTTACATTACACTCAAGTCTCCTATAACGAGGTGTTTTCATAACGCGATTTCCATATAATGTGGAGCGAAAATTCGTGCTCTCCTATAACGCGGTCTCCTTATAACGCGTTTTTCGTATAAGAACATTCCAACAGCTCAAATAGCTTTGAATATTTATCTATGATAGCACATACTCGATGTGTTCAATTTTTGTGATCCTTCAACGATGCACAGTGCAAAATTTAAAAAAGAATTTCAAAATTGCTTGGATACGTATAAAGAGGTTTTGGAAGAGATACAAAATAAAAGTACATTTGAAAACCAAAAAGAAAGTTTGCAGAGTAAAGAGGATTGTTGGCCAATTAGAAAAAAATGGGTTAGCCTGCAAATATTTGACAGTGATGATGAATAATAAAACAATCTAATTGTGGTAGCCTCAGTATATAAACCACATGATAAGAATGTCTGAATTCTGACCAGACTGAAGCGATTTCATAAGAGTGTTTGAGTATAAAACATTCGTTGCAGAAATAAATATAAATAAGAGGAAATATGGAATAACAATGATGGATAAGAGAACTTATGATTGGAAAGATTTTAATAAGGGCTTTGATAGGCGCCCGAAAGATAATTATATAAAACAAAGTAATAAACCGTTTAATTTTAACATGTTAGAATACTATTTTAAATTAGGATGCGTCATTAATATGTATCAAATTAAATTTTTTTGGTGGAAACAATTTTTTTAGTTTATAATTTTATTATATGAACTATGTATTATATTCGATAAACCTAAATTCAAATATGTAAAAATCTACATATTCATTGCCATTTCTATTATAAAATTTTATTTATTAACAGTATCAATCGCAATTTGATTCTTTGAGAATGCAGCTTTTATATAGGTATGATTTATGTACAATTTATTTATTTCTCAGATTCCATATAACGCGGTACGAATTCATCCCATTTCTTATAGCGCGATTTCTATATAACACGATATAAATTAATATGATTTCTCTTGTTACTATGTTTTTCATAACACGGTTTCCATAGAACGCATTTAGTAATTTCAGTTAATTCTGATTTTCTTATAACACGGTTCCCATATAACGTGGTACAAATTAATGGCGTTAGAGGAGACTTGACTGTATTTGCAGAAGTTATGTATATAATACATGCATAATGTATAGTACAATATATTGAGCAATTAACAATTATTCTTTGTAATTAGATAATTGCATGAAAACATTTGAAATTCTTATGCTACATACTTTATGCGAATATGCATTTCGTCATGTAGAATATTCTTTAAACATAAAGAAAAATGTATATGAATGGTTAAGAATTGGCAAAATGTGGATGCAAAGGATATAAAGTAATAAAATGGTTTACTATTATTACTTTTCTTTCTAATTTTAAAGAAATTAAAATTTTTTTGTCATGATATATACAACACTTTGTATAATGGTAACTTTACTGTTAAAGTAAATGACATGAAAATTATCTTCTTCTAACGTCACATTTCTTATGTATATGTAAACACGTATTTATATAAGGAGTATTTGCTTTGGATCACGAATTTAGAGAATTTAGTATTAGTTACTTATTTCTAGCAATTAAATGAAGTTTAAAACAAAGTATTGACTATTATTTGCCCTAAACATAATTAAATTTCTTGAAAATTTTCTTTCTACTTTCTTCTTTTCTTCTTGAAAATTTCTTGAAAATATAATAAAAATATAATATATTGTAATACTAATAATAAAAATTGTGATATAACCATTGTCATCTAAACATCTCGCTGTTCTGTAGAAATCTGTGATAAAGTTGAATCTCTAACTTGATATTATGCGAAGAAAATTTTCAAGAAATAAAGTGAAATCACTCATTAGCTATTAATTTTAGGGCTAATGAAGATCGATACTTTTTTGCTTGAAATTCAATATTCTTTCATATTTTGTTATAAAAAATATAGTATTCCGTTTAAAAAACAAAGTTGATCTTCAAATTTTTAAAGCGCCTCCATCTATAAAAAGAATAAATGTACTAAACAGTGTACACCTCGAAACGAATATTTTGGAAGTTAGAGAGATGCATATGATGCATGAACCACCCTGTATATGTAAATAAAGAATCATATAAATGAATAACAGTTTTGAGGAAACTTATTTGAATTTCCAGGGACTATTTTTAGAAGGAGCAAGGTGGAACAGAGAATTGAAAGAAGTTGATGAGTCCAAACCAAAAATAATGTTTGATCTTCTTCCTATAATATGGTTAAAACCTGGTATAAAAGCTCAATTTTCTATTGAATTCGTATATCATTGTCCCGTATACAAGACAAGTGAAAGACGGGGTGTTTTGGCAACCACTGGTCATTCTTCTAATTTTGTGTTGTATATTTTATTATCAACACATGTCGAAGAATCCCATTGGATTAAAAGGGGAGTAGCTTGTTTATGTCAGCTGGATGATTAAATTATTGAAAAATGTATAGTTTGCTACGTGTGATCGATTTTATATATGTATTACAATAATATAAATCCTAAAAACAATATGTATGACAATTTTGAATAAAAAATTTACAAAAAGATTCGGTTTAGAAATCAATTTAAATAAAAACCATTCAATTTTAAGCGAAAATAGTTTTATACGAAAATATACAGGGTGTCCCAGTAACGGTAGTACAATCGGGAAGGGGGTAATTCTAGATGCAGAAACGAATTTAAAAAAAAGCATAAAATTTTTTGTATCGAAGCTTCGTTTTCGAGAAAATCGACTTTGAATATTCCCCAAGTATACGTATACTTAGCTATGGTTTAGATGGATAGACCATCAACACATCAGCATCGGTAGTACAATCGAGGAGGGGATGATTTTACATGACAAAATAAATTGAAGATTAAAAATAAAATTTTTGCATTTGAAACTTCGATGTCAAGGAAATTGACTGTGAATATACATCGAATACGCTGATGCATAGATGGTTCATCTGTCTTAATTAAAGTTAAGTGCACGCACACTCGGTGAATATTCAAAGTCGATTTTCTTGACAACGAAGCTTTGAATGAAAAAATTGTATTCTTTTCTTTCTTGTTGGGACACCCTGTATATGTATGCACTTGGCAACCCTTATTAGAATTGTGATAAATGAAAGATCTTATGACTATCAGGTATTAACCTGCAAGCGATACGCTTGTGATTGGCTGTTTGTGAAGGCACAAGAATTTTTAATTTGAACAGTGAACTTTAAGTTACTTTAAAGTCTTCAAAAAGTCCAAGTTTAGGTGTCTAACTAATTAGACTTAGATCGCTACCAGTGTTGTTCAAATGTTTTCCAGCATTGGAAAAACCAGATCTTTAGAGCGTAATGTGAAGGTAAAGGTATTGTTTTAGATTCTTTAGTCTTCTGTTCCCATATTTAAGTTTTATAAATTTCTTCGTGCGCCCTCTCTTGATGCAGATTATTATTTACGTTGTTCTAGTGTTTGCAGAAGTGATTAACTTTGCAAGAATATCTTTCATGATTAAGCAGTTTATCTCACAGATAGCATTCTGCACCATGATGACTACATTGTCCATGAATAATTGTAGCTCGATTTTCTTTTCGGCCATCTTGCAGCTCTTATTAACAAAGAAAGAACAAATGGTGTGTACTATAGGTTACAGACAAGAAGTCTGCTGAGCAAAACATAGGACCGAATCCCCACCAACCTTCACCAACCCACCCATTCTAATTCTATCGCAGAAGTAAACGCGCTTTCCTTATTGGCAGAAATGATCTTTTCCTATTAGCCTGATCATATATCACTGTGTGACAAAGAAAGCGAACGAAACAATTTAGACAAAGTGAGACAGACGCAAGAAATAGATACGAGAGCGTAAACTTATCCCTAAAGCATTAACTTCAGATTCTTCCGATGAATGTTTATTTCTGAATTTTATGTAACTATACTTATATTTCATACACGTATTAAATATGTGTCCAATATTTGTGAAGTATGAGTGAAAATAATCATGTTTTACTCGTGCAGTATTACTCTCATGTTCGCAGGCTTGCAATGTATTATTCGAGTATAGGAATTTTACGGATGCCTTACATCTATGTTAATGTATAGTGTTACCAAACCTGAACATAGCTATTACAATAACGTCGTTATAGAAGAGTGGGGACTACGAGCGAGCATGTTAGGCGAAGCGAGTGGAATATCCCCCTTGCCCTTGTGTCGAAATAACGGGCTTCTTGTCTACAACGCATAGTACACGAAAGTACATCGCGTAAGCTAGTCGGTATTAAAGTACAATTGCGATTATCGCGAAAACAATTATGTTCTATTTGGTAAACAAGAGGGATAGGAGGAGGATAGAGAATTTATATATTTCGCTCCAGGTTAGGTAGCTTACCTTTGTACAGAAGGCACGCACATGAAACTTAGTTAGAAACTTGTTAGGCTAGGGATCTATCTTATAACTTCGTAGGTCTAAATGCACGTAATCCACGTCGTCCAACGATGTCTTTTGAATAAAATCTTGAAAAGCTGAAAAGAAAATAGACCTGAAATGAAACGAATTAGTAAGAGGAAAGAAAGTAAAAATGAAATGAATATAAACCACAAAGGTCAACTAAATGCAGTGAATAGCCCGATGAGACATGAACAATCCAACGAAGGGACATAAACAAACCAATGATGAAAAATTCGGATATTGTACGAAATATTTGAATACTCAAATAAAAATAAATAAAAACGACGAAAGAAAATTTGAAGAAAGAAAAATAATTAAAACCTGAAAAAACTGCATTCTCGCTTCCACAAATAAATTTCCGTGACATGTGTATGTATGTCAAAATATTTTTATTTTCTGTATATCTTTGGTTAAAATGAACACGAAAAGCAAAAGCGTTAGAAGATTCATTCTCATCTTAAAAGTTAGACGGGAGTTTATTTTTTAACTACTTTTTATTAAACAGTCATTAATGTATCGAATAACGAAACTTTCAAATTGCAAGTGATTTAAAGAAATTTCTTATGATTTTGCGATTAGTATAAAAGAGTATACGTAAACATATACATGTGATATATATAAAAAAAATGAAACTTACTGGACCATGGTTTTGGTGTCGATTACGTGTGATTACGGCCCTGACGAAACTAAATGTTCAATGCGTGCAATTGCTGTGTGGTGTCAAAATCCTGCTTGCGGGTTGTCGATATATTTTACCATCCTATCAATATTGAACACCATCCTAATATTGTTCCTAAACAGGTTACCTAACGTTCTTACTTCTTACGTAATACTTCATTTTAGATAAAAATCGTGCCTTTATAGAAAAACTGACATTTTTGAAAAATTGTGGGTGATAGAGCAATTTCGATTATGGATTCGTGTTTAGGAAAGTAAACTCTATAAGAATCGCGTATTGAATATTACAGATTAGAGAAAAAGTTAAAATTTGTTGTCATTTTTTATCTATAATTATAGTTTTTTTTATTCGTACTATAGTACATTATATGTAAACAGTTTGTATTTCATTCTTGTGGAAATGTAACAGTTAAAATGATCACGTGCGTATATTCTTTAAATGCATTAGATAAGGGGTCTGATAAGTGTAAGCATGAATGTAAAAGTACATTATTAAATATAAAAGACAGAATAAATATATGTTTAGGAAAACAGGTGGGCCGCATAATATTAAATACGATTCAATTTTTCAAGACTATCTAAGAATTAAGGTTATATGAATACCAAATATAATACAAATAGGAAATATAACGCATACAAATGATAGTTACTACGAACTAAAAAAAGAATATTAATTTATATTGATCTGTAGATCCATGTTTGTACATTTTTGTGTATATTATATTTTTATTCTTGTATGTGTATTTGTATATTACTAGGTAATGTAACCTTTTTGACCAATTCACAATTAGACATTTTATTTTGAAATATATAAACATAATAAGAATAAAATTATATTTCTAAAATAAAATATATCAATTTATAAAATAATTTAATGCAAGTAGAAAATATTATTTCTTAATGATGTACATTTAATGTTTTTAAGATATAAACATCTATATATTTTTTTAAAGAAAATAGAAAAATATATTGCATACTCTATTAAACATTTTATTAAAAAACAAGAATAATATAATTATAGTATCCGAGTAATGCATTTATAGAAAGATCATGTGGTAAGAATATAGAGTTCGATATACAAATATCTCTTCACTTCTTTTTCTGTATTTTCATTTAAGATACAGGTATATATACAGATAATAAATATAATAATTCAGTTACTAAAATCATATGAATTTGATAACTCTGTTATTAATAACATATATAAGTAATCATAAGGTATCAAAATGATATGAAAATTTTTAGTTTCATCAAATAAGATTTTTAGAAGCATTTTATGGTTTGTTAATTATGTAACTCAATCATTAAATAAATTATTTAAATTAAATTTTTTGACAGCAAAATAACTTATTAAATATGAAATAAATAATGATAGTATGAATCGAATAAGAATAAATTTCAAAAGTTTAACACTTTTATTGTAAATAATACAAAATGGAATTTAGAATTATAGAAATTAGGTTTATTGAAATTAAGAGCAATTTATTAAAGCACATCATATTTTAATTTTATTGGAAGAATTAAAAGAAAATCCTATATTCAAAATCTTTATTTGGAAGTTTAATAATAGTAATAATAATAATAATAATAATAATTTATTCTGCATTCATAGTGTACAGTTTTTGGATATATACAGTACATACACACACAACTGTTAATACGTATCTGAAATTCTCTTTCTCCATTTTATATCATATTTTTTTCTTGATTAACTTATCATTTTATGAATACTGCTAGCCTGACAGCAAGATCTTTACCTTATTATCATTTGCAATTTTGTTCCTTTCACCTAAATTCAATCACTTATCTATGAGCTAAATATATTTTTGTCCTGATATACAAACAAATCTAACATTTTTCACAAAAGTTTCTTAAATATTAGGTTTAGAGGAAAAGGTTTTCCTTTTTTTTTTGCTGAAATTAATCATTTACCAAGTATATTTCTATGAATTGTACTATGTAGAAAAAGGATATATGATTATTATAGTTTTGCAATTTTAAATAGTGCAACTTTTATTATTGCACTACTTTTAAAATTAAAATTAAAATTATTAAAAATTTTATTTAAAATTAAAAGGTATAACATTGGTACATTCAGTAAAATATGTAAAAATACAGAATAATATGGAAAATAATAGAAAGAACTACAAATAATGAACTGATATACACATGTCTGATTATCTGTCACAAAGTGAATACCCATGAGTCCACAAGTCTTGTATGCAAATAAATAACTAATGCAATTTGAAATGAGCAAAGATAAAAAGAGATGTGTGAGTGAGATATCAGTGTACATGAAACAATGACACTAATAGGAGGCAAATTTCAGTGGATAC